CATATGATTAGGCCCAAAAATAATGATTTGGAGGGGCTTTAGTTTTTCAGATTTTTCGAATTTCACAATTTCTAGCGATCTGTTTACTTGGAAAAATAGCCAATTGGCATACTTGCGCTGAAAATGTTATGCATTGACTTTAACATTACAATGTATTTATTACTGGTAGAAGTATTGCAAGAGTTTTAGAATTTTTCTACAAATTTTTACGCTTGCGCCGCAAGCGTAGCATACATAGACGCTGCCCCACTGATTTCAGTTCAAAAGGTTTTGCTGACATTAAAAAATTCGCCTTAATTCAATACCATTTGATTATTTGAGTTTTTTTATCCGCGTTAATTAACAAAAGTTTTGAAATCCAATCTCACTGTAAATTGGTTTCTAAATACGGCAGGTTCTGAGCTAAATGTTCGGCAAAACTTCAGAATGACACAACAAATAAACACAGATATAGTTTTCTCAAACGTATATCGTTGTACGACTTGTACCACTAAGCCTTTCACAAGAGCTAAGTGTACGTGCTCACAATGCTAGCTCTAACTCTTAACTAACTCAGGATTCGTAGAGAACGATATATATATGTTAAACTAGTTCCTTGTACAAATAAAAGATGTAAATGTGCTAATCTTAGGTGTCTACATAAGAGGAAAAACAAGCTAGAAAAACAATAGGAATGTGTCTAGATACGTATGTATAAGCTGAGTCAATCCATAGTGTAGTTCTTAAAATAATACTATAATAGAGGGTGGGTTTCCTCAGTGAAAGTGTTCCTACTGGTATACGCAATGCAACAAAGAGTGCGATGCAAAGTTGACGCAAAAGAGTATGCACAAACAAGTATGACTAACGCTGGGAGAGTGGATGAATGGGGCGAAGGAAATGCGCAAACGAGGCAGGTAAGAGCGAGGCTTAGCGCTTGGTGTAGCGGAACGTCGATTGTATCAATGCCAAAAAAGCAGTCCTGACACACCTGCCTAACCCAAAGATCGCAGATTTGAAGCGGAAATTTCAGCGGCTAAAGCGACTACAATTTAATGATGAAGAAACATCTGATTATCAACTGCCAGTACACATCATATTTGGTGCAGCAGATTATCAAAGGATACGCACAACAGAACAACCTGTAGTGGGAGCGAATCCAGATACGGATCCCGGAGCCGAGTTTACGATGTTAGGATGGATGCTGTTCGGAAGGCAAGCACTGGATTCATCGGATGTTGAAAAGGGATTCTTCCTGAAATCAAGTAAAAACGACTTTGAACAACTTTGCAGTCTCGATGTTCAGTTCAGTTCAGTTCAGTTTCATATTTTAAATTCTCCACATACAATTTATCATAACAAAACTAATTAATACAAACAATTTACTAAACTACAATAATAACAATAATGCACCTAAAATTAATACAACATACAAATACCGAACAAAGAACAAGATAAATTGCATGGGGGGAATTACTTAAAGGAGGAGCTCTCTCAGTAGTTAAACTAATCGAGGAGAGAGCACCCCCTGTTTCAAAAATTTCTCATACAGATTCGATTATTTTAGGCATAAAAGAAACTATGGGCAGATGGTGAATTTATATATCAATAAGTTTACAATCAACTTTGGTAATGGTTTTGAAAGAAGAAGGCTTTGAGTTTCTGTTGAAAAATATTACCAGAGGGTGATTTCTTTATTTCCACAGGAATGTCGTTCCAGCATTTAGCTCCGCAATAGCGCACTGACCTGATACCATATTGCAGGGTATTTTTTTGGGTTAGAAAAATATCATTTTTGGTGACTTGTCGTGTACCATATCGATGAACGGATTCAACTAAGTCAAAGAAAGAATGAAAACAAGAAGGAGAGATCCTATTCACACAATCATATACAAAACTAAGCAGTTTCAATTGGAAGAGATCATAGAGTTTTAAAATCTTTAAGTCAGAAAAAATAGGTGTAGAAGGTGAAGTAAAATTTGCAAATGAAATTGCTTTAACAACTCTTTTCTGCAACAAGAATACTGGATTGATATATGTCTCGTAGGTGAGACCCCAAACCAAAATTCCATATTGCAGGAAAGGTGAAAACAAAGAATTATAAAGACAGATCAAAACATTGATTGGTAGGAAATGTCTCACTTTGAAAAACATACCACAAGTTCTAGCAAGTTTTTTAGACAGCTCAGTTAGGTGATATTTCCATGACAGGTTTTCATCCAAAAGAACACCAAGAAATTTGACATAACAAGTCTGCTTTACAGGAAGGTTTCCAAATTTGATGCTGACAGTTTCGGGAGAAGAATGTTGAGGAGACTTGAAAATTATAAAATTGGTTTTATCAATATTGAGTGACAGCTTGTTGACATCAAGCCACATTTTCACTTTTTTCAATTCCCTGTTAACCACACTCTGCAATTGAGCAAGACTTTCAGCTTCATAATAGATGTTAGTATCATCAGCAAATAAGTAAAAGGCTAGTTTTGAAGATGCATGAGGTAAATCATTAATGTAAATTAAGAAGAGGAGAGGACCAAGAACAGAACCCTGTGGAACCCCACAAGTAACATTTAGATAGCTGGAATTAGATCCATTTAATGAAACATACTGTTTCCTGTCTGAAAGATACGATTTAAACCAATCTCGAGCAGTTCCTCTAATTCCATAATGTTCTAGTTTCATTGAAAGAATATCATGATTCACTGTGTCAAAAGCCTTTTGCAAGTCTATAAATATTCCACAACCAAATTTTCTATTGTCTAATGAACTTTTGATTGCTTCTGTTAGACTAACCAGTGCATGGCTAATGGAATGGCTAGCCCGAAAACCAAATTGTAATGAATATAAGATTTCATGCTTTTCTAGGAATTTATAGAGACGTTCATACATGACCTTTTCTGTAATTTTGCTGAAGACAGAGAGAAGAGAGATGGGTCGATAATTTGATGCTGTTAGTGGACAGCCTTTCTTAAAAAGTGGGATTACTTTAGCCAGCTTCATCTTGTCAGGGAATATTCCAGATTTAAATGATTCATTTATGATTTGAGAAAGTGGAGAGGAGATCAATGGGGAAAGACATTTTAAAATCTTCATGGGAATGCTGTTTGGACCAAGAGATTTTCCAGATTTTAGGGCAGATATTATATCAGATATTTCGGAGGGAACTGAAGGGGCAGTGAAAAAAGAATTTCCAACTCTATCACCCATGGAATCCACTGGGGACTTGTTGGATCTTGGTATATTTTTGGTGATATCATGAGAAACATTAACAAAGAATTTATTGAATACGTTTCCAATGACCACGGGATCTGATGTAATGTTACCATTTGAGTTCTTAAGCTTATTTATCACATTTATATTACTTGATCTTTTGACATCAATAACTGATTTAATTCCTGACCATAATTGTTTCATGTTGTTACTGTTCTTTTGAAAGTAGTTATAGAAGTAGCTAGCCTTACTTTCTTTCAAGGAGACCAAAACCCGATTTCTAAACTTTTTGTAAAGATTGATAAGAGCTTGGTTGTTGTTCTTTTTAAGCTTTTTAAGTATCTGATCTCTGATGCGCATCATTTTTTGAATCTTGCCATTTATCCATGGTTTGTTCCTGAACTTTGTGTCTTTCTTTGTAAGTTTTCTCAAGGGAGCATGGGTTTTGACCAATTCATCAAGGCTTGATAGGAGTCTATTGAACTTTGAATTTACATCTGAAGCACTATCATTTAAATATGAAATGTCAAGGTTTGCAAAATCATTTAGGAGGTTTTCTTCATTGAAGTGAGAAAAATCATGTTGGAAATATGACAGATTCTTATAGGTGATGCCAGCATGTTTGACAATTAAAAATTGAGGGAAATGATCTGTTATTTGCGTCAAAATATTGCCACTTATGGTTTCAGTATCTGTGATGTTTGAGAAAATATTGTCAATAAGAGAAGAAGAATGTGCAGATACTCTAGATGGATGAATGATGTATGGTAGGAATTGTTTAGAGAAAAGGAAATTAACATAATTTGTGATAGGTGTACTAGAGTTATAATTCAGAAGGTTGATGTTGAAGTCTCCAAGGATAAAAACATGCTTATTAAATACAGCAGGGCTGGACAGAGTTTCTTGCAGATATTCACTAAAGGTATCAAAAGTTGAACCTGGATGACGATAAACACAACAGAACAGATAGTTTTTACCATTTTTATTTTCAACTTCAACCCAGACCGACTCAAAATCAATACTGTCCTTACCTAGATCTGGTCTAGGAATCGAAGTAAGTTCTGATTTCACATAAATGGCAACACCACCATTTTGGGTATGTGACTGGGATGGAAAATAATTGTAACCAGGAATTTCCACATTTGTTTTAATAGGATTTTCAAAAGAATTCCAAGTTTCAGAAACACCAATAACATCAAAGTTTATTTTTAAGTTTGAGAGAGTTGAAACAAGTTCATCAAAATGAAGTGAGAGGCTCCTGATATTCGCATGAAATAAGGAAAGATCCTTTACTGAAGTATCCAGTGTAGATAAGTCCTGGGGCGTATGATAACTAGAGTTGACATTAAAAGGTAAATGTTCATCAATATCGTAATCACCTAAATTAGGCAAGTTGGTAAGACCAGAAGTTATTTCAAAGGATGGAATTGAATCTACAAAAGATGGAAAGTCTAATTCATTCAGGTTAGATAATTCTTCATTGTCCAATGAACCAAAGGGAAACATATCTGCTGTACAATTCAAACAAAACCAAGGCACATCATCAGGCTCCTTTTGCAGCTCTTTATACTCAGAATTAGAGATATCATTACATCTTATATGGACCCAAACTTTGCAGTGATTACAAAATATTGACTTGCCACGAGCAAGTATCTTTTTGTGGCAAATGCCACACGGAGGGGTATCAGTTTCTACCATTGATATGTCTTGGGCCTAAAATAAAACATTGGACCATAACAAAAATAATTGACCACAATGAATGAACTGAGTCAACACAAAAGTTTGTATCAAACACAATATAGGTAGTCCTCTTACGACTCCGTGAAGGAAATTTTACTGTCATTGGATATGAAACTCTTGTTGTTCTTTTCAGGAGGTTCTCGAATTATCAATCGGTCCATGACAAAATAGGCTATTTTGCCATCTTCCCTTGCCTTTTTCAAATCAACCTTTTGCTCATCACGTCTGTTGAGTATTCGCTGTGAAAAATCTTGGACAAACATCAATCCATCAGGCTTTTTCTTCCTTGCAGCCGCTAAGATTCTTTCCTTCTGCTTCCAGTTGGACAGCTTGGCAACAACAGCACGTGGACCGAGAGGACGGCCATCTTGGCCAACTGCGTTAGGCCTACGGGGTTTCCCAATGCGATGAGCTCTCTCTATTTCGACATTTTCTTCAACGCCAAGGGTGTCTTTGATTGTCGACTTGATAACCTCCTCGGTGTCATCCCAAGTGCGTTCCTCTTTCCTCTCTGCTAGCCCAAGTATCTTGATATTATTACGTCTCGATTGATTCTCTAGGTAGTCAACTTGGTTTGAGATTCCTTCGCATTCTCCGTCAATATGCTCCAGAGCAATGTGTTGCGAATTTACTTTGGCATCAATAGATGTTACCTTGGAATTCAGCTTACCTTGGATGTTTTAGGCTTGATTGATCCACCAAGCAACGATTCAGAGTTCCATGAAGTTTACGCAACACTTACTGAAGAAGGAGGAAGGTTACTACGAAACACGGTTACCTTGGAAACCTGACCACCCTGCTTTGCCAAAAAATAAAGTGCTAGCAACAGCAAGGCTATGGAGTACAACCAAAAGACTGGAAATCATTGGGAAGTTGAAGGATTATAATGAGGTCATGCAAGAGCAAATTCAAGAAGGGATAATAGAGAAGATTCCTCAGAGGCCATCAGGAGAATCAGTTCATTACATTCCACACCAAGCAGTTATTCGAGAAGATGCAGAATCAACAAAGCTAAGGATTGTGTATGACTGTTCAGCAAAACCAAACCCTCAGCTACCGTCAATCAACGACAGTCTTGAAACAGGACCAGCCCTGCAACCTTTGCTATTTGACATCATTCTCAGAAATCGAATGAAAAATTACTGCATAACTGGTGATATCAAGAAAGCTTTTCTGCAGATCAGAATCGCCGAACAAGATCGTGACGCACAAAGGATACTTTGGTATGATAATCTAAAGGATAGAAACATCATTGAGTACAGATTCACGAGGGTCATATTTGAAGCCGGGCCTAGTCCTTATATACTAGGAGCTACACTACAGAAGCACGTATTGAATTATAAACGAAGTTACCCTGGCACTGTGAACGCCCTACTGAAGGACACTTACGTGGATGACATACAATATGGGGGAGATTCATTGGAAGAGCTTGTGAGATTTAAGGAACAGGCTACAAAAATCATGAAGGAAGGGAGATTTACGCTACACAAATGGCATAGCAACATCGCGTCATTAGAATCTACTGCAGCTGAAAAGGGAAGACAGAAAGAAGAAGATGACATCAGAGAACAAATGAATCAACATGAAGAGTTGAGAAATACTTCCAAGATTCTTGGAATTCAATGGGACAAGTACAAGGATCTACTTCAAATAAACTTTGAGTCTTGTCACCAAACAAACCAGCCTGTAACCAAGAGGAAGATGTTGGCAGTCATCAATAGTATCTTCGACTTGCTTGGATGGGTTTCACCTGTGACAATAACTGCAAAGATCTTATTCAGTGAGCTGTGCCTAAGGAAAGTCACTTCGGATGAAAGCTTGCCTGAGGATATACAACGACGTTGGAATTTATGGATCAAAGGACTGAAATTATGTCCCACTATCACGATTCCCAGAAGTGTTAAGAGCCCCAGAGAAGAAAAGTTGTCAGTTCATGGATTTGCAGATGCCAGCAAGCAAGCAGTATGTGCAGCTGTGTATTTATTGGTGACATATCCCAATGGAACAGTGGATAAAAACTTGCTCGTTGCCAAGTCTCGCATTTCGCCAAGGGATTTATCAATACCTCGTCTAGAACTGGTGGCAGCTCACACACTTGCGAAGCTGATAAAGTCATGTTATGGGAACACTGAGCTCGTTTGAAATCAACGATGTCCATTTATGGTCTGACAGCACAACTGCTCTCTTCTGGTTGGCAAGCAAAGGAACATGGTCACAGTATGTCAGAAACCGAGTGAAAGCAATACACGACTTGGGGAAGTGGCAATGGCGCTACGTACCAACCGATCAGAACCCTAGTGATTTGGGAACAAGAGGTGTGCTACCAGCAAAACTGGATGACTTTTGGTTCAAGGGACCACAATGGCTAACAGACAGGCACTCCTGGCCAGTCCAACCGGAAATTACAGAAACGGAGGAAGCTGCCAGAGAATCTTTGCCACGGAAGAAGGAACACGTCTTTGTGGAGCAGGAAACGGGAAATCGTAAGAAGAAATGTGCAGATACTCTAGACAATGGATGAATTGATGTATGGTAGGAATCTGTTTTAGAGAAAGGAAATTAACATAATTGTGATTAGGCTTGTACTAGAGTTATTAATTCAGAAAGTTAGTTTGAATGTCTCCAAGGATAAAAACATGTTATTAAATACAGCAGGCTAGGGACAGGAGTTCTGCTAGATGATTCACAAAAGGTAATCAAAAGTTGAACCCTGAGATGACGATTAAAACACACAGAACAGATTAGTTTTACCATTTTTATTTTCAACTTCAACCCAGACGACTCAAAATCAATTTACTGTCCTTACCCTAATCTGGAGTCTAGGAAATCAAAATAAGTTCTATTCACATAAATGGCAACACCACCATTTGGGTATGTGACTGGTGATGGAAAAATAATTGTAACCAGGAAATTTCCACATTATGTTCTAATAGGCATTTTTCAAAAAGAATCCAAGTTTCAGAAACACCAATAACATCAAAGTTTATTTTTTAAGTTTGAGAGGACGTTGAAACAAGTTTCATCAAAAATGAAGTGAGAGGCTTCCTCGATATTCGCATAATGAAATAAGAAAGATTCCTTTACTGAAGTAATCCAGCTGTAGATCAAGTCCTTGGGGCGTTATTTGATAATAGAGTTGACATTAAAAAGGTAAATGTTCTCAATATCGTAATCACCTAAATAGGCAAGTTGGTAAGACCAGAAGTTATTTCAAAGGATGGAATTGAATCTTACAAAAGATGGAAAGTTAATTCAATTCAGGTAGATAATTCTTTTCATTGTCCAGATGAACCCAAAGGGAAACAATATCTGCTGTACAATTCAACAAAAACCAAGGCACATCATCAGGCTCCGTTTTGTTGCAGCTCTTATTACTCAGAATTTAGATCGATATCATACATTCTTAATATGGACCCAAACTTGTGCAGTGATTACAAAATATTGGACTGTGCCACGCGAGCACAGTATCCTTTTTGTGGCAAATGGCCACACGGAGGGTATCAGTTTCTACCATTGATATGTCTTGGGCCTAAAATTAAAACATTGTGACCATAACAAAAATAAATTGGACCACAATGAATGAACTGATCAAACAAAAGTTTGTTATCAAACACAATATAGGTTAGTCCTCTTACGACTCCGTGAAGGAATTTTACTGCTCATTGGATATGAAACTCTTGTGTTCTTTTCAGGAGGTTCGTGCCGATTATCACATTCGGTCCAGTACAAAATAGGCTATTTTTTTGCCATTTCCCTTGCCTTTTTCAAATCAAAACCTTTTGCTCATCACGTCTGTGATATTCGCTTGTGAAAAATCTTGGACAAACATCAATCCATCAGGCTTTTTATCTTCCTTGACACCCGCTAAGATTCTTCCTCTGACTTCCAGTGGACAGCTAGGGCAACAACAGCACTGGCTGCTGGACCCGAGCAGGTACGGCCATCTTGGTCCAACTGCGTTTAGGCTACGGGATTTCCCAATGCGATGAGCTCTCTCTATTTCGACATTTTCATTCAACGCCAAGGGTTAATCCTCTGTCTTTGTTGTGACTTGATAACCTCCTCGGGTGTTATCCCCCAAAATAAGCAGTTGCGTTCCTCTTCCCTCTCTTCTAGCCCAAGTATCTTGGATATTATTACCCTCTCGATTGATTCTCTAGGGTAGTCAACTTGGTTTAGATTTCCTCGATTCTCACCGTTCAATATGCTCCAAGCAATGTATGTTGCGAATTACTGCATCAATAGATGTTACCTATGGAATTCGCTTACCTTGGATTGTTTATAGGCTTGGATTGAATCCACAAGCAACGATTTCAGAGTCCATGAAGTTTACGCAACACTTAACTGAAGATAGGAGGAAGGTACTACGAAAACACGGTTACCGTTGGGGAACCTTGACCACCCTGCTTGCCAAAAAATCTAAGTGCTAGCAACAGCAAGGCTATGGAAGTTACAACAAAACGACTGGGGAAATCATTGGGAGTTTGAAGGATTTTAATGAAGTCATGCAAGAGCAAATTCAAGACAGGGATTAATTTAGAGAAATTCCTCAGAGGGCCAAATCAGGAGAGAGAATCATTCATTTACGATTCCACACCAAGCAGTTATTCGAAGAAGATGCAGAGATCAACAAAGCTAAGGATTTGATGGACATGATTCAGCAAAAACCAAACCCTCAGCTACCGTCAATCAACGACAGTCTGAAACAGGACCAGCCCTGAACCTTTGCTATTTGACATTCATTCTCAGAATCGAATGAAAGGATTACGCATACTGGTGATATAAGAAGCCTTTTCTGCAGATCAGGAATCCGCCGGAACAAGGATTCGTGGACGCCACAAATGATACTTTTGGTATTGAAATCTAAAGGATAGAAACATCATTGATTACAAGAATTCACCGAGGGTCATATTTTGAAGCCGGGCCTAGTCTTTATATATAGGAGCTACACTACAGAAGCACGTATTGAATTATAACCGAAAGTTACCCTGGCACTATGTGAACGCGCACTGAAGGGACACTTACGTGGATGACATACAATATGGGGGAGGATCATTGGAAGAGCTTGTAGATTTAAGGAACAGGCTACCAAAAATCGATGAAGGAAGGGAGATTTTACGCTACACAAATGGACATTAGCAACTCGCGTCATTAGAATCTACTGCAGCTGAAAAGGGAAGACAGAAAGAAGAAATGACATCAGAGAACAAATGAATCAACATGAAGAGTTTGGTAATACTTTTCCAAGATTCTTGGATTCATGGAACAAGTACAAGGATCTACTTCAATAAACTTTGAGTCTTGTCACCAAACAAACCAGACCTGTAACCAAGAGGAAAAGATGTTGCAGTTCATCAATAGTATCTTCGACTTGCTTGGAATGGGGTTTTCACCTTGACAATAACTGCAAAAGATCTATTCCAGTGAGCTGTGCCCTAAGGAAATTCACTTCGGATGAAAGCTTGCCTGAGGTATACAACGACGTTTGGAATTTTATGGAATCAAAGGACTGAAATTATGTCCCACTATCACGATCCCAGGAAGTGTTTAAGAGCCCAGAGAAAAAAGTTGTCAGTTCATGATTTTGGCAGATGCAGCAAGCAAGCATATGTCGCAGCTGTGTATTTATTGGTGACAATCCCAATGGAAACAGGATAAAAACTTTGCTCTAGTTGCCTAAGTCTGCATTTCGCCAAGGGATTTATTCAATACCTTCGTCTAGAAACTAGGTGGCCAAGCTCACACACTTGCGAAAGCTGATAAGAAGTCATGTTATGGGAAACACTTGAGCTCGTTTGAAATCAAACGATGTCCATTTCTATGGTCTGACAGCACAACTTGCTCTCTTCTGGTGGCAAGCAAAGGAACATGGTCAGCAGTATGTCAGAAACCGAAGGTAAAGCAATACACCGAAGCTCTGGGGGAAAAGTGGGCAATGGCGCTACGTTCACCAACCGATCAGAACCCTAGTGATTTGGGGAACAAGGAGGCTGTTGGGCTACCACAGAGGACACAAACTAGACGACGAACTGGTCGCTGTTGTCTATCTAGTTCCGAGTGTGAGATTACAACACTCAATGGGTTGGACACATTAACCGCTTTCTTCAAACAGACAGGCACTCCCTGGCCAGATGCCAAACCGGAACAATCCTACAGAAACGGAGGGACACTGCCAGAGAATCTTTAGCCACCCGGCTATCAGACGAGGAACAAGTTCTTTGTGGACAGCAGGAACGAACCCGATTCGCGGACCGTGCAGAAAGCCCGGGTTTTATATCCACCACAGATCGGCGAGCATAGCTTTCATCTGGCCTCATGTGCGAACCATAGTGACACCATCCGCTATTGGACAATATGACATACCCACGCTACAAGTAAGAGTCATAATTGGCATTCTAACGGAGTGAGGTTGCTGATAACGACAGGATTTCTAATGAGAGAACACTGACACTACTAAGGGCATATACCTACGACTACTCAACTAATAAGAGTCAACTAATGTAATACAATTAGCGGACATGTGGCTTATGCAAGACGTTTTCCTGCCCAAAGGTAGGTCTACGCGAAGCTCATTCAGACACATACCGACTACGCACTATGGCACAAGCAGTGATAGTGTAGAGGATGTGTTATCATGACAAGTTGATTGCAACTTCATAAGTGCTTTGTGGTGAGCGAGCCCATACCACCCATCTTCGCGTCATACTTCTCGCTATTAATTGCACAGAGGCCTACTTGCAGTAAAGATTCATACAGCAAGTCACAAAGGAACATTGCATGGGGGAGTACAGTCAACATATGCGGTTAAGGTCAGGAGAGAGATTTTGATTCCCACAGTTGAGACAAATGGTAAAGCGGCTCGTTTTTAAGTGCAATGGATGCAAGAAACAACAGGGTGAAAGGGTATGTTCACACAAGGGGTTTGCCAGTTTTGCCAAGATTTAGAGCGGAATTTTCGCTGACACCGTTTCACGACAATCTGGCGTTGATTTCACCGGTCCCTAATACTACAAGGCAAACAAGAGGAAGTCAAGAAAGGCTTACAATTGTGCTGATTTACATGTTCAAGCACCCGAGCTGGCATCTTTACCCTGTGCAAGGATATGGACTGCAAGAAGAATCCAAAAAGAAACTCCAAAAGTGGTTCGTTTGCACAGAAGATGGCAAACCACACCTTCCATGGTTAGTGACAACGCAAAGACTTCCAGGCAACAACAGAAATGATGGAGACTTGCAGAACAATGAAGAAATTAATGGTTACCTAGCATCAACAATTCAATCAGGGGTATTCAACCTGTCACGGCTTCGTGCGGTGGGGCGGTTCTTGGAGAAGCGCCTAATTGGAATTATTGAAAATCAAGCCACTTTCAAAGGTGTATTTGGAAATGCATACTAACATTTGCAGAGCTCGAAGAAACCTTACTAGAGTTGAGTCTTCGATTGAACAACTAGGCCGCTTACATATTCTTGGTGAAGATTTGACGATGCCAAGTAATAACACCAAACAATTATCATGGAGAACCAGCAAACTCTCTTGGAGACAAGCACCGTAGAGACACTTGAAGAACCAAGAAGATGTTGCAAGGCGGGCTGAGGTACATAAAACGCTGTAAAGAGCAGCTACGGAGACGGATGGATCGGCGAGTACTTGCCTGTGCCACACTGGAGGAGAGAAAAAGAACACAACAAAGTATCACCTGGAGGAGGGAACAAACTCAGCCACTGCAGACGTAGTCCTGATCAAGGATTCAACAAAAGGCAAGGGTCAGTGGAAAGATCGGTAGAGTTGAAAATGAAATCATTGGTATGGATGGAGTTGTCCGAGGGTATAAAATACGCACAGGAAATGGCTACGTCGTCGAGCGACCATTACAGCTTATTGCAGATCTGGAGATTGGTGGTGACGTTCTAGAGGGGAACAAAGACCAACGAGGGAGCGAGCTGAACCCAGCAGCAGAAGAGTTTGTGCCACAAGGTCGAAGCCGAAGAGCCGCCAAAGAAACTGCATTGAACAGAATAGTTGGTGTTCAACTGAATGAAGACGAGGAAGAATAAGGACTGATATTAAAGCTGCAGGCGCACTTTAATAGGGGGAGTGTGTAGTGAACTGGACCTTTCTAGTAAATTCTTAATAATGCTAAATAAGAAGAACACGCTAGACAAGTTGACTAATAATAAAATAATTCCAGAACCTTCTGGAGTTAGCCTTACGTAAGATGCTGTAACTTGCTTATTCAAGATTGTATTCCTCCACACGTGATATTGTACGAGTTTATTCTAGAAATTTCTTGTTGAAGAGTATATAAGGGTAACGTAGCTTGCTGTAGGGATTCAGTTTTTAGTTGGGGATTCGATGGATACAAAAACACGACACATTGTTTATATCTTTGGAGAATAACTATACGGGCCTAAGCTGGAAAATGTACCTTATCATAGCGTTGAAAGAGACGCACTTTTGTGAATCTATTCAGTGTGTCACAGGGAATAAAAATTTATACCAACGCGGCCTTGGATTCCACACAGTATTACATCACAATTCGCGTTACCCTGTGATCGCATTAATTTGTTCCGCGTAATTTGGTGTATCGCATTATTTTCGTGAAATAAAGTACCGTAAATCCTCGAATAAACCCCCACGCTCGAATGAGCCCCCACCTAAAAAAATTTTTGCAAATAAGCCCCTGGGGGTTTATTCGAGGATTCGAGCCCCGCAAGTCGTTGGATAGTTTAATTTTCGAATAGTTCAATAAATGGGCAAGACAGTATGTAACAGGGGTTAGTCTAACGTGGTTTTTTCACCCTTTTGTGGTATTGTAAATTTGTTTTGTGGTGTTGTGATTTCAATATTGTGGTGTTGTAAACAAATTGACCATCTGGAATAATTTTTCGCAGAATGTAGGAATCGTCGTTCCGCTCAAGTTTCCTTAGCAGGGCCGCCGGACGCAGATTTGAGCAGGGGGGCCAATAGGAATTAAAAGGGCACAAACATATATATTTTTAGTACCATTGGTTATTGCCAAAATAGGACAGCTTTCATGGGAATTCAGAAGTTTAGAAAAAAATAACACAGCGTAAATGGCTATGTGCTTCATTTAGGAGTCATGCACTCTTGGGCATACTTAATTGTATAATTCCTCATGGACGTTGAAGTTTTTCGTTTGTTTAAATCTTTCATCGACGTATGATTCATATTTTCTTTAAAATTCGATTTACCCTATTTGTTTTTTATTTTTAATATTGTAAGTGGAGATCGCGGCAGGCACACATCATTCTCCCGTACTTATGATAGGTGCATTATAGTTGACAAATATTTTGATCAATTACAACATACCAAAAAACAATAATCCCACATTAATGCAATCAAGTAACAAAAACTTACAAGTTAAACCAAAAACATAGTGTTCAAAATTGAAAGGTATAATCGAATTTTTAGGCTCTATCTATTTCAAAGTAAATTTTCAGACTTTATATATTTCAAAGCAAGTTTTCAGTCTTAATCTTTTCCAAAATTTAGCAAGATAAAAAATAAACAGCTAAATTGTAATCTTTAGGCCAATTGAATTCTCCGAGATCATATATAATGCATAGTAGTACGCTGGTCGACCTACCGTATTCTCTCTAATGAGCGCCCTCTCTCTAATGAGCGCTCCCTATTTGAACAAAATCTCCAATGAGCGCTCATTAGAGATGGTATTGGAAATTCAAATATTCAAGATGCTACGCCAGTGTTTATGCAAATCGACGAGGGTTCCAACTCGGAAGAAATTGGCATCTTGCAATTCTTTTTGCTTTAACAAGTGTGATGCAAATTCAATATCAATTTTTGAAAAAACAATGTTCGTTTGAATTTCAAAGCTCAGTTTTTTACCGGTGGATATCCATCTATCTTCAATGAGCGCCCCTCTTCAATGAGCACCCGTCTCTAATGAGTGCCCCCTCTCTAAGGCCAAAGAATAAAATGAGTTTCCCCGGCGTTCATTAGAGAAAATACCGGCTGAGAAACAACTGGCGACACACTGAGGAAACTTTTCTCGCAGTAGATGTTGTTAGAAATTGAGAATCACTGGGGCAACGCCTTGATTTAAGTTCTTTTACTTGGCGTCTAAAGGAAAAATATCTGGCTTTGAAAAAGGTACACGCAATATTTTTTTTCAAAAAGGGCACTTTGCGCACTTTTTCCAAACAGGAGGGGCCTGTGCCCCCGTGCCCCCCCTCCCCCGGCTCCGGCGGCCCTGCTTCGTCAAGGTTTTTTTTAAACCAGTGGTTCTCACATCCCCGTTCTTTGTTGCAATTGCTCTTGTCAAGAATAGAATTATAAAACCTAATAAGAAAAATTACCAGCACTTGAATTTGTGGTGTAAATTTTTCTTAGAATAACCCCTGGTATGTAATCAAAACGGTCAAGTAAGGAGGTATAATAGCTTCCATTTCTTGAAGACTTTTTCCACGCAGGAATATACGAAAGTCTGAAAATTTATCAAAAATCTGAAAATATCCGCAAATCCGGACCCAAAATCGAAGGATTTTTAAATCTGAAAAAGACCTGTACGCCTTTTCCCTCGATAAAATGAGTGCAGCTCATGAAATTGCCGACGCAACGAATACCGACACCTCATTGCAGTAACCTGCATTAAAATTTATTATAATTTATTATAATTTATGCATGACGTCTTGCATGATGAGGTGACAGTCATCAATATTTCTATAAATTGTATGACAGGCAACAGGGAAAGAAACCAAGTAGAAGTTTGTTTACGAAGAAGACCGAGGAGAGATGAGAGTCCAAGTGGTTCTCCTTTTCAGCATCATTGCTGTCAGCTGTGGTAAGCTTATAGGTTGTTTACTTTTTGTAGCTCCTCTCAAGCACCGCTATTTTCCATTGCATTCCATCACATTCCCTTGCCAACATCGCATCGCGAAAAGGGCCTAAATGCTTTGGAACTTGGCATTTTCTTAAATTCCTTACTATAATATGATCAGATAAGAAAAATTTATAATTTATGGAAACCCGCGATTTTTTCCATAAGGACTGGCAAATGGTAACTGGCTGTCAGATTTCATTAGAGGCGTTTCGGAAGGAATGCAAGATGCATACAAGAAGGGCAAAAACGAAACGAAGCTGAAAGAAATCAAAGAGCATCTTGAAAAACGAATTGGTAAGTTTGATTTCAGATAGCAACTCTGTAAGGATGCCTTTTCATATTAAACTTTGCTGAGTAATTGTTAGAGCACTTTTGATAAACAGTAAATATCCCATCACACGGGCCTACGGAATTCCGGCGATATCTCACATGATGTCACAGACGATTGAAAAACCATTGTATGAAAATTTTATATCCTTTTAACTGCATTTCTTTGAATATAGATAATGCCCTATTGAGATTTAAAAGACCTCACGCAATTAGCATTTCAAAGGGATCAATATGCGCATTGGAGTAAATGCAGGTGGCGGGATGGAATTACTGGTGTTGTCGTGCTAAGAAAGGACACTAATTGCTGGATAATTTGAAAGCAAATGCAAAATATTTGTCAGGGTTCCTTTCATAAACACCTAGTGAGGTTTCTGCCATGGCCACATGGCTGCGGCGATTTACCCTAAACAGGCTACGGTCAGTTTAATGTCAATGAACACAACCTGGATATGTCAGATCAGGCAGCACACTTGAATAACTAAACGTTTTTATCACACTTGGATAACTAAACGTTTTTAGAGTTTCATTATACTAAAACAATGATTTTTTATGTCGCTGTCTTTTTTCCATCCTCTTCCCAATAGTTTTAGAGTAAAGTGAGGTAACTGAAAATTTGTTGGAATTTGTGGCCTTGCAAAAACACAATTTAATCTGAAAATGAGGAAACTTTGGTAAAGAGCTCATTAAGAGTAATTCTTTTGCAACAAATATTTGATAACAGAAATGATAAATATACTGAAAAAATAAGAAAATAACTCCCTTTTTAATATTTAAGGTAGCAAGTATTGAGGTAATTAAAATATAACAATTTTATAGATGCGGGGCAGAGCCCAAGGCAGTTTTAAATTGATTAGTTGATTATCATTAAACCTTTTTTAAAAGTCAGGCAGGCAGCAGTTAATATTAAACTTGATTATATGAAATTTAATTTCATTTAATATGTGACAGGGTATGCCTTTATGGTGCCTTGGGCTTTTGTTTATGGCCATCTTTTCATTTGGTGCACTGACAGCCTAAAAATAATTGGCCCAAATGATGAGAGAATGCCACCTTCAGTGTTGTGATTGATAGTGGTCAAATATTCTGTGGACCATCTTAGCTTTATTTGCTAAAGGTTTTGTATGGTAACCTGGAGCAAATATTTAAATATTGACGCACATGCCTAAGTTTTTATGCTCTGTGTTTGGCCCTGAAAAACTCTCAGATCCTCCCTTTTTCTTCATACCCTTATAAAAAATTCCACCAACTTCTTTTGACTTTCTTTGTCTAAAGAGCAGTAGGGAAAGTATTTAAAGATATTTCTTCCAAGTTATCATGGGATCCACATAACATTTCAATTTCATTTTATAAGATTTCATTTTGTAACATTTCATTCCCTTGAAATCTTTAAGAACTATTTTTATGCTATTTTTTCTTAATATATAACAGAATAATTTTATCAAAATTATTTAAGCTCTCTCCAAATCTAAGCCTGATGGGACGTTAAAATAAAAATACAAAATGCAAAAAGATTTGAGGTGGCATCAAAAAAGATACAGTTGCTGCTAAAAGACTAATTTGAGGCACTTATTCATAAAATCTACCTTTTTCATTTAATCGTGATAAATTTGGATTGCTTTCTTCTGTTCAAAGCAAAAATGTGATTTCAAGCCCATCTTATTTACCAATGATTCATGAATTTTTGTTTTTTGCTTTTTCCAATCTTGCTGTCAAATTTGTCCTAGCCAAATCTTGTCCTATTGCCAACTCTAGGCATACCAATATTCAATTTTGCTTATTAACTGTAGAGTATTTTGAGAGTTTTAAGTTACTTGAAAAAAAGGGCTGCATTTAATTTATGTTATCAAAAATGCAGGATGCACTCGTTTTTTTTATCAAAGCATCTATTCATCGCATCAAGGTTCTATTGATTTTTTCCCTCTCCATACTATAGATAACATTATTTTGATTTTTAGCTAAAATTATTTATATTCAAATTACAGCTGAGCATCCAAAGTTCAAACACCATAAGGAAGATTTGCACAATGTTATCAAAAAAGCAGAAAAACACTTAAAGAAGCTCCACAGGAAATTTGAAAAGCTGTACCAAACTGGTGATGCAAAAAAAGCCAAAGATAAGCAGATGAAAGCAATCAAAAAATGGATGTCATCTTTGACAAAGATAAACACAGATGGGTAAGCTTCTTCAAATAGGAATAAAATCAATGACATGATTACTTATGATTATAAGCATGATTAAAAGTAAAAAACTGATGGGAATGATTTTAAAAATGTCTTCCTGTTAACAGATGTTTTCAATAGTGCTTAATAACCTCAATAGTTCATGAGTAAAGTCCATCACCGAAATATTTTAGCCCTACTGATGTCATTCAGCTACATAGAAATGTTGAACCACAGTTAAGAAAGAGGGATGAAATCCTAGGCCTGTGGTAAAGGCTACCATATTATCAGGCTATAATTCCTGCTGAATTTTTGGCAGTGTTACAAAACAAATCAGGTCTGACCCTGCCTCTAACTGGTTGCAAAAATCATTGTGACAATGTGTATCATGGTTAAAAACCTGGGACATACATGGATTGATTGAATAAAATTTTGAAACAAAGGGATTTTTTTATATATGATAAAGTTGAAGTAATAGATATGAACAGGAGAAAAGTTGAACAAATATATTGACAAGGCTGTGTCAAAATTTAAAGACAAATGGCAATTCATATTGGCTGTCAAAAAGACTGAATTTTGATTTTTCAACATTTTAAAGATCACTTTCAACTGAGAATCCTTTTGAAGTGAAAATTGAACATGGTTATGGTCATGAAAATTACTGTTTACCTGTCTGTCATAAATTGCTCAAAGACGTATATGGTATCATATGAGACTATTGTTGATACGAGCAAAACAAATTCGATGCTTCTTTGGGCTGTGACAGTTTGGTGAAAAGAATTTCTAACAGAAAAAAATTAATGACACTGGCCTTGAAAATTTGGAAGGAAAATCTATTGAAAAGAGAAAACTTTAGAAACTTCACAAAATCAACAAAGTTAAATTAACAGCAATAGTCCAGTGGCTGGAAGGGGAGCATTACCACCTAGAAGGAAACTTTACCTGAACCACTTTTTCTAGGGTAGTTTTTGGTGTAGATTTCAAATCTGAATGTTGATAAGGCCGTTTGGGGGGCTTTACCAAGATAAAGGGGGTTTAAGTCTTTTTAGGGTGGTGTCTTTGGATAATGATATACTTTGTTTTTAGAGCACAAACAGTGCTAAAAACAAGCGTATATCAATGAAGCCTACAAAAACCAATTTTTTTTCATCATTTGAGCCAATTCCCATTATTGCGAAGAGAGCTTACACAAAAATCTATTGTTTAGTGTGCTGTTATCAAATCAGTTATTACGTGCATAAATTATGCAAAGTCTTTAGTGCAAAAACCCTTCTGTAGCTGTTTCTTGTAGTATTCAAGATATTTTAAAAGGTCCTAATTATATGAAATATCCAGACGGTATAATCCTCTGTTTCACAGGAAAGAGTAGCTTGTTGACTTCATTTGTTTGACAGTGTTTCCATGTGCTACCACATGATATCTTGACCTACTTTGTTGTTTTGGGATATTGCTAGACTCTCTCTTACAGTTCTGTTTATATTTCACGTTGAATAACATTGATTGGAAGATTGGATTGTGGACCCCTTAAAATAAGGTTCTGTTCTTTAGAACCTATTTTTTTGTTAGACTTTCATCAAAGTTTCTACTTCAAGAATGTGTTTTGAAGACCATAAAATATCTTAGCTGATGCTAATTACAAACCATACACGATGCTTCCCTTTCATATCTATCTCGGGATGTGAAAGAATCACGTAAATATGGCAGAAAGAAGTGAGAAATGTTTGTTATTCACTATGGGTATTTGGAATTTGTAAATAAGAACTTAACGCCCCCCCCCTGACATCAAAAACCTATGATAGGATCTTGAAAAGCAGAGATGCGAGAATCAAACCCTTAGGACCCCATCATCATGAAAAGCAGATTAGAAGAATGCTAGAACAGTTGCCTCTAGGAGAGCACTTTGTTCATAGGTCTTGCTACCAGAACTTAACAAAACCCATTGTAGTGAAAAAAAACAAAGGTAAAAAAGATCGCAAAAAGATTTGCCCTTTAAAAAGGGAGAGTATGTGCACTTGAAGCCTCTTACTGAAACTTTCCAAAAAGGGCCCTTCTGCAAATTGGTTTCTTTGCAATGCAAAGAAAAAGAGGGACTCTTGGAAGTAATTAAGGAGGTTTGGGTGGCAGAAAACGCAGCTCTTGTTATCTCAAGAACTGTTTTTCCCCTCCAAATTTGCTACACAAGAACTCATAGAGGAGGAACGTCACCATGTCCTCCCCTAGTTTGAAAAATTGCAACAACAAAAATTATATTTCTCACTGGAATACGTAGAACGGACGTGATGCCATCTCGGAAATTTTCGGCCTTCTATTGCCCAAAGAATTAAAATTGCCCCATATGGCAACAATCAAGTCTCTTCATTTTTTTACTGATATATAAGTGCTTTTATAGTGCTTACAGGTCATAAAAACAAATTTTACAGTAAAATAGAAGAAACCATCCTAAAATAGACTGAAACCCCCCGTATCTCGGAAAAGCCCCCCAAACAGCCCGATCAACACTCAGGCTCGAAATCTACACCGAAAACTACTTTAGAAAAAGTAGGTCTCGTAAAGTCTCCTTCTAGGTGGTAATGCTCCTCCTCCAGCCACTGGTCTACAATGCATATGTTGGAAAAGTTTATTTTATCAAGGAATGATAGTTTAATTTTAAAAAAATAGTAATGATAATAATAAGATATTGTAAGAAACATTGCCCTAAATACATCTATGTGCTTTAATTTGCAGCTTTTTTGTATTTAAATGACTTCAAATAAAGAGCATGTAAATTTTATTTCGACTTGCTCCAGAATAAGATGGCTTTACGATTCTCAGATTAACATAGCTCTTTCTTCTTATTTGTCTTATTCATATCTTGAATAATTTGAAGCTTAAAATTTCTATGGCTGAGATTATCAATTTGTTAACTGTGACAATAAAATGAATATTTTGGTTCTTTTTTGTAGGGAAGTTGAGCATGGTATTCCATTCATCCCAAAAATCCTTACCCATAAGGATCTTTCAAAGGAGCATAGAGAAAAGAAAGCAGAGCAAATATTTAAGAGTTTGGCAAAAATGTGGGAAGAAAAAGCAAAGGAAACTGCTCAGGGTGAAGAAAAAGCCTCAGTTGATGTTGACCAAAAGAAAAAGCCTCTTTTTGGAAAGGATGAGAAGATTATCCAGCCTAAATTTGTCAATACTGACTTTGAGAAGCTCAATATGTTTGGCAAAGATGCAAAAGAAATCATCCCGGAATTCGTTAAGGAAGAGTTTGATAAAGAGACAGAAAGAAAAATGGAGGACAAAGATGAATTAAAGAAGCTACATAAAATTGATATTTTGGGAAAGGATGAAAAGGACATTATGCCAGATTTTGTGAAAAAGGAATTTGAAAATATGAAGAAAAAGGAAATGCTTGTTTTGAGGGAAGAACTTCAGAAGGGACCTGTGTTCACCGGAGAAGAAAAAAACGTACAGTTTTTAGGTGAAAGTGACAAAGAAAAGACCGACCATCTTTTTAAGACTGAAAAGATGAAAAAAGAGATCAACAAGGAATCAGAAGATTTGGAGAAAACAGTAGAGGAATTGATCCCATTTCTTGGCAAGGAAAAGAATAAGAATGTTCCAGAAAACCCCATAAAGGAGAAAGCTGAGATTAAAAAGCCTGCAAGTGGGATGAAGACACCCGAGAAGCACATGTTAACAACATTTGTTGATGGGTTGAAAGTCGTAAAAGTTAATCCAGCAAATTCAAAGTCGCTAGATGAAGTGCGAGGAGAAGAAGATGAATCCGAGGTTGATGAAAAAGAGGAAGAAATGATGAGCACAAAGAAACAATTTGCGAAAGAGGCTAACAAGAGGCTTAAAGATGCTGAAGACAGAATCATAGCTGAAGAAAAAGAGTTTGCAGAAGCTGAGAAGAAATGGGAAGAAGAAATAAGGAAGAAGGCAGCAGAAGAAATTCAAAAGGAGAAAGAAAAAGAAAGCAAAACAACAACAGAAGAAGAGGAAATTGAGGAAGATCTTCATGAGCAAACTGATACTACTTTTACACCCCCTGACGACGTGCTAACAACGACTGAGCCTTTGGTTCAACAGGAAGCTGAGAAGCCGTTACTTACTTTCGATTTTGATGACAAAAAAGAGTATCCTTCTGACAAACAAGGTATAGAAAAAGAGCAAATCTTCCCTTTGCCTAGAAGAGTTCTTGAGCCTGCAAGTATTTTTGCCACTAACGAAAATAAAGGCAGTGCCTTTGAAGAGATGAGTGAGGATGTCAAGCCATTTTTTCAGAAGCTAGATGATTCCGATTTCCGTCAAAAATTTTTGAATGAAGAGAAACAGTGGATGGCAATTGAAAAATGGGCTGTGAACCGCCTGTATGGCAAGAAGGGAGAAAAGTTGGTCAAGTGAAATCGTGACTGATCGTAAAAAGCTTTTGATATAGTGGAGAAGCTCCTAAAGTATTTTGCACCAATTTTCTTTATTTTATACTTTTTAGCACACTTGCACGAATTGATCTATTAGATCTTCTAGCTACATAGACCTATCCCGCAAAACTGTTGATGATAATTACACCATATACATCCTGCCCCGGTCATCTTTATTAGAAGAACGAACTTCAAGTATCAAGAGCTGAAATTTCAAATCATAGAAAGAGGAGAAAATCGCTATCCTAGTTTATCATAGAAAAACCTTTTGTTTGTTATTGAGTAGTAAATAGCAATATACAACTGGTGTCTGAGTTTGTATCCCATTGAGCTGTATCATTTTTAAGTATTTAAGTGAATTTTCAGGAAATAATTTTGTACCCAAAGCATATTTGTACCTACGTCTTTGTAAGAAGCAGTAATTTGCCGCACCGTTTTTTAAAGATCAATGCCAAACATATATTTCAGTAATTTATGGAAGTTGGTTGATTTTTTTCATATTTGAAAGTTACCAGTTTTGATAATGCTTTGTAGTTTCTAGTATTGCATATTAAAGGAAAAAGCCCAATCATGTTTGCATCTTTGTCTTGGAAATGGCATTGATTCTCATAGTGGCGCTAATTAACTTTTGTGGGAAAAGGTTGGTCTTTTAAATAGAAGTGACAAGACAACAGGAACCAGCCTTTGAGCTGCGGATTTACCCAGCATAATTGTTTTGCTATTCAAGGGACCCCCGTTATGCGGAGAAGTTATCTGTACAAGGCTTACAAGAAGCCCTCTTTTATCTTTTGCAAAATTATTGTATTGCACCTTTGAATGACCATAGGCCCGTAAGAAAAAATATACGTGCGCCTTTTCGTACTTTCTACCCAGGCCAGGCTTTGGCTGTCATTGGTGAAAATCCAAAAGTCCGCAATTGGCAATCATTGGTGAAAATCCACAGAACACGTTGATTGAATTTGGCAGAACACGAATTCGACTTATAAATTTTGAGAAACGAAGAACGTGAAGCTTCTGAATATATAAATGCGCTTGAAATTCAGATATCTTCAGAAGCAGTCTAAGAAAATATAACGAACATTGACAAACATATCAACAATCTTGCCAAAATCGTAAAAGAAATCACAGAAAAATTGTGTGTTTTAAATGCAGAACGCTATAAAAACTGACATGCGTGAAATATTATGACCGTCATGCGTCCGGAAATTTGGGAAATAAGAATAGAAGCAAAAGTTGAATAACGAACAGAATTAGTTGGGTTACGTGAAGCATATATTTAGTCTTTCCTTAGTCTATACTTAGTCTTTCCTGATATTGATATTGATAAAAACTGCGGAGGAGAAGAGCTCATCGTGCGGATTGTTTACTTGAAGTAGGGCCTTGACTTAAAGCAAGGAATATTTTGAGCGCCATGGTGCAGCACGGGCAAGGTTAAATACCTATGTTTACTCGCAAGCAGCTCGCAGTCTAGGAAAACAATATGCTTATGCAGATACTTCATTATTAATACCTTTGTCTACCCAATTTATTGAGAATCCCAACATGTTCTTATTATGTCAAGTTCAAAGACCATTCATAATATGTGAAACTTTTCTTTTAGTATTTTAGTTCTTTTATCGATAAAGGCTGCTCAAAACATTTTGAAGTTTGTAACAACAGGTCAAAACTACTAACGTAATAAAAAACTTGGGTTAAAGTTTAAAAAATCGATTTGCTCTAAATGACTGATATAGTATTAAAAATTGGCGTCAGTGTATGAATCTTGGAGGTTATTATAAGCTAGGGCGGTTTGAGATGCTGTTTTCCTTGTAATGTCATGTAGATAAGAACAAATCTATTTTTTTATTGAATGGAAAACTATCTGTTCATCGCATATTTTAGATTGCTACTCCTAACAACCTGGAGATTAAGATTCAAGCTTCCATTTGATCTTGAGGGACACAAGATAAGACCGCAATTGATGGCTGAACTTTGAAAGACTGTAAATCATTTCCGTGCATGAGATATCTATGAAAGAAAAGCTCAATCGCCTTTCCAAGCATCATACTGTGAACGATTCGATAAAGATTCACGTAGAACATGTTTCACTTTCTAAAAATATCATTGCGTCTAAAAGAAAGATTTCAGAGGCTGTTTTACAATCACTTAATTTTATAACAAGCCGAGTCCCAAGTTGACCAACAAATTAAGGAACAAGAACAATCGCACTGATTGCCCTCAGCCTAAAGAAACCGCTCGAAAATCCTTCTTTTCAAAGTAGAGTTGAAATTATTCTTTCCGACGATTAGGCACCTATTTCCTGTTCCAATGATATGGTTATAGGAAGAAGAGCTCCTTGTGACTTATTAAGTGCTCTATTTCCATGTTATGTTTTTGTGTTTCTAAAAAAGTAATTCTTTAGCATTTAGTAACTGATAAACCTTTAAGAAACTTTTGGCACTGAAATCACCAAAAAATTTAGAAACTGAGTGCTAATCATCAGCCTGAAGGAAATTATACAATATTTAATCATTTGCTAAGACCACACGAGCTTGAATGTATGCGATGAAATAGAAGAATAAGTGATCCAGAAAAGGGATAAAAGAGGGGGGCATTATAGCAAGTACCCTTGTCATAAAAACAGTTTGTACGAGATGGGAGGTACTCTTCTCTTGATTGGACGTTAGGGGCATAGCCCGAGGTATATATTTTCGTTAGAAGAGGGTTGAGGAGGATCCTCGACACATTTCACAAATAAAAAAAGGAGCATTTACGAAGTCCGTGTGAAGCTTTGGAATGATGATGTACTGAAGTTGAAATTTCCTCTTAGGCAAACATTTTTTGTCCGACTATTGGCGCCAGTTTTCACAGTCACATGCGTCGTTTTACTCAAATTCTCACTTATCAATTACACTCGATTGCTTATTCAAATAACTCGACAAATCATTTTTTACTTCATGTTGCATCGATCGTAATACTTCCCATTTTGTTTTGCGTGCCTAATTGCACCTCCCAGCCTGAAAACACTTTTGACAACTCCAAAACCAAATGGCACATCCAAAAACAGACGAATTAGCCTAGGTATTATATGTCTTATCGTGAAAATGAAAATCCTTTGCAAGACTGGATTTGTCTTTTTTAATTGAAACTCAAGATTTTGTTCGTCATTGTACATGAATCAGACAATGATTCGCCATAGTCACTTAACTAACTTGAATTGATGAATCACATACTTGGTATATGTACCGATAAAATATCTGTACGTGAAACGGCATTCATGTGAATTTTCAACAAACCTTTCAAAATCTATCTTGAAGAATAACTGTAAGCAGCAAGGATTTTACCATTTTTAACAAATATGATTAGGCTTTTTTCAAGAATATTCGACATGAATCAAAAGCTCGAATGGGAAGATTTCATTGCAGATTTATTCATCTGTGCCTAGATGGAAGAAAACAAAATAATAGCTTCTTAAAAAGCTTTTGAAACATAGTAAAATTTATTTAAAGAAACAAGAAATCGTTTTACATTTCTAACTATGCTTTCCTCTAGCTCTCGTGAAAAATTCCTCCCAGAATGGATCTTAAACAGCAAGTAATGGAAAGGCATACCGCTTAAATGTGCTGTAAGATTGTTCAAGCTGTAGTATAGGAAAACGGAATTCCGCCCGCTAAAAACGACCAGTACTTTGACCGGACCCGTCAAAAGGATATTGCCTGTGTCATTATCTAAAAGCAAAGTTTTTCGCTTTCAAAAGTCCTTTGAAGGTATTTAGGGGCTATATATCAAGGTTTCTAGGACGGATAACAGCTTAGCTTGGCTCTTGATGGATGGCCTGTGCTTATGACCTGGCATCTTATTGTCACATCGGCCTGGAAGAAGCGGCGCTTTTCGCAACTTGTAAAAACCAGAAATTCGACGGCTTTGCGGCTTGGAGAATTGAAAATATGTCAGATGGCTCAACGGCAGACTTTAGATGTGTTTTTGGAATCAAGACCCGACGCCATTTCAAGTTAATGTTTGTTTGAATTACGGGTTATCTCAACGAGAAAATCTTTTATCGCAAAAGGTCCTTACAGTGGAGAAGGAAAGAGAGACACGAGTTTGTCAAAGGAATCCCTAAAAAGGAAAAAAAGAAATTTTGCTACCACGTTTTCTGTGAGTTCTCTTTGAAAATCAGGTACTACACGACAAAACCGAAATATAAGGTGCCAGATAGGCAGAACTTAAGACATTGCACCTCTTGGTCAGTGAATTCTTGAAAAAATGTACGACGAAACTCATTGGAAAAAATTAGCTATCCTCAACTAGCCTGTGTTCCAGACCCCTTACTTGAATGTACATAACTTCTGAGGGTAGCCAATGAGAATAAATTATATTTTGCTAAGAAAGTCAACATTTCCTGAATTTTTGTTTTGTATTCTATCAAATTTGAATCTGCCTTGCCTTCTTCTGAAATGTTTCTTCTTGTTATATCCCAAAACGGAAATCTATCAAGCGCACACGCTGCGTTGTAAAAACCATTATATTGCTTGCTGACTTAAAAGTCCAAAGCCCAATCTCCAGTGAGAAAAAAATCAGCGAAATGCGAAAAAGTTCGCGCGAAATACGTCTTAGGCATGCGCAGTGATCTGTTGCTGGGATTTCTCGCGAAGAATTTATCTGCGAAAAAAAGGTAAAATGAGTTTGAAGCCCAACTTCAGTGAGAAAAAGTCTTGCGAAATTTCGCTGCGAAATACTACACGCGACAAATTCCGTTGAATGCTTTTGCTCACCTCACGACATTGGAATGTAAAGTTTGGAAACGTTACAAAGGGATACGGAATATGATTGGCTCCTGAAGGATTTCGCAAGCGAAAAGCGAAAAAAGTTAAACAGAAATACTTCGCGAGAAATCCCAGCAAAAGATCTCTACGCATGCCTAAGACGTATTTCGCGCGAACTTTTTCGCATTTCGCTGATTTTTTTCTCACTGGAGATTGGGCTTAACTTTTTTCGCTTTCGCTTGCGAAATCCTTCAACAGCCAATCATATTCCGTATTCCTTTATCACGCTTCCAAACTTTACATTCCAATGTCTTTAGGTCAACAAAAGCATTCAAATGCATTTGTCGCGTGAAGTATTTGGCGAGACTTTTTCTCACTGGAGATTGGGCTTAAGTGATTCATAAAGGAACAAACTGTTATGAATTAATGGTTTTCAATCTTTTTGGATCAAGCTTTTTCGAGAATTCTCGGATCAAGAGGGGGGGGGGAGGCTTTTTAGCTACTCCTGAATGGTAAGCATGGTAAGCGATAGTAGACTAAGATTTGGAAAATATCTTGTTCTTCTTCTAAAATGACGATTTGAAAAGTTTCATGTCAATCAAATCAATAATGACGTCATAGTGACATCAAATTTTTTAATTTGTCAAAAATTCTTCAAGATTCACTTTAATGAACATAGAAACGTTGTTTTATGTAGGTTTACATAGAAAGAAAGGTTATCACAATGTATGACGACATCAACAAATAACTTATTTTGCGCATGCGCTTTAAAAAAGCCATTTTTTCTAATGAAAATATTCAAATGTGGTCAAATTCTAGCTGTATGCTTCATAGCTTCCGACATCAAAGTCGAAAAACAAAGGATGAGTCAAAACAAGCATAGCATTTAGTGAAGCAAGGCAAACTTTGCTGACGCTAGCGATTTTTAAAAACAGTATCGAAACTATTTTTAACAACAGCAAAATATATCTTACAATTACATTATATATGGAAGAAGTTTCTTTAAATAATTATGTTTGAGATGGAAGCTAAAGAGCATTTTATATTGTCTAAAAAGAAAGCTAAATTAGCTCCCCCCCTTCCCCCTTGGTCCAGGTAGGGTTAAACTTATTCAACGTTTTTCATAATGGTGGTAGACATCTATTATTATATTTTGGTCCATTATTATAGTCAATTCTGATCTTCTATATTTATAGGACGGTTTTGAGCGGCAAGGATTGGGGGGGGGGGGTTTGCTGATTACGGTAATTATGGTTGGATTTAGGTGTCATATGTTGCAGGTAAACGCCCATATTAGAAATTCAGCTTTTAACGTCAAGGTTATAAAGACAAGAAGATAAATAAAGTAAATTCTTGCATTGTTTTGTTACTAATGACCACTTGAAATTCACCTTACCGAATCGAGGCAAAATTTACAGAAGGACATAAAATATTGGTTGCATCCCCCTGCACTCTCCGGTAAATCCGTTCCTGGATAGAAGTTCCACGCTAGTCATTACTGCGAAACTTGTTTCTGATTACAAAATTCTATTAAATTTGTTTATTTCTCATCTTTATATATAGAGGCCACTCCTGGACTTTAATCTCGGGTATAATGTGTTTCAACGCCGTCTCCTGAGAGGCAGCCCTGTTTCCAAGCAAAAAGCTAAGAACTATAGAACTATACAACCCGAACAAAGAACCTGTAAAATCTTCTTATGAAGTTCACAGAATGTAACAAACATTTCTTAAGAAAACAACTTTCCAAACATTATACACGCAGTTCAATTAAGTTCGCTAGATTTTCTTAAGTGCTACATGTAGTTGGCAAGATGTTTATAAAGGTTTTGCAAACACTTTGAATGCAGCAAAAGTTTTACAAGCACATTTTACAAGCAAATAGAATAGGTTTTTGCCTATCTGCCAAACAGCAGACTTAAAATGAATTTATTTTGAAATCAAATTCTGAATATATTCAAAATTCAATTTTCTTAAATATTCTTTCCGAGTATTGTTATTTCTTATTTTCTCTTAATCTCTAGTATTTTTGACACTTTAATAACTGCAATGAGATCTCACCTAACATGTATTCACATGAAATTTGTTGCTAACGTTATCTAGATCTTAGGACCTGCAAATCACTATCATGTAGCGGTCATTTCTGCTTCAACCTTAGGTCTGGGTGAAAGCATCAGTTTTTCCCTTGTCGATGTAGTTCTGGTGATTCTGCCCTACTAAGAATATGTCTGTGGGCTAAGCCTTTGAAATGACCACCAGTGAAGTAGTCACACTACGAAGCAATCGTTTTCTAGAGGGGTCTTTCAAGATCGGGATTGGAGCTGGAAATAGAAGAGGTCCCAATGCGACCCTTGAAGTTAATATCACTCTGGAACTACTTCAATATAATTGGCATTACGAGCAAATACTACCATCATACAATGGACAAGTAATCAAAAATGCGAGGCTAAGGGATTTTCACAGCATTCTGCACAGCCTTAGGGAGATAGTAGCTTAATGTGGAGTTGTGATTAAGTGGGTGTCGGTGTTGAAGTGGTCAGCCGAAAAGGATAAAGTGACGACTTCGTTGGCTGTACGAGAAACATTCTATTTCCGCAGCATCCATGCAAAAATTATGTAAAAAACAAGAATAAGTGTGTGATGATGCTGAAGACTTGATTTATTGTCCAAGCCGACAGTTTCGAAAGAAGGTGTAGTATGGAGTTAACCAAAAGTCATTTGGGCTCACAAAATCACGCAATCTTAATATACAGAATGAATTTTAATAGCCTAATGTTGCACAAGATGTTTTCATTGTGTTGAACAAAAACAAAAATTGTCTTAATTTGGGTGATGTAGGTGTTCCCTTCAAAAATCCAGCAAACGAGACTTTTGCATGTTTAAAAGTTAGTCTTTCAAAAGTGAGAATTGGTTTTTCATGAGTTCATAATCAGATCTATCCTTTGACATGCATTGAAAACCTTTCTATGAACAATGAAAGTTCTCTGTATGTGCTTGGCTATCAAATCTTCAAAAATCAACATAAAAGCAAAAGGGAAAAAGCAAATCAATAAAACGCAACATTAACTCGAGTTTGATTCACCACAGTGCTATTCTATTTGTTGTTACTTTGGAGATGTTGAAAAACTAGCATTATTATGATACTGTGTACCGTGTATCAAAAGCTATTTTCGTTTATACCCTAAAAAGGTATCAATTAGATCATTTACTGCGCAGAGAATGCAACCTGTTTGTCAAGGTAAGTTGATAACAAAATAAAATGACTAACAAAAGTGAGACCAGGAAAACAAACAAATTTTCAAACTTTTTTAAGATAACTTGATTTCTTTTGACTCTGGCTAATTGCGGAGATGAAAAGTACGACCCAATGGTTGGAAGTAATGTATTTTTTAATCAAAGCTTTCTGCTGTTGGCTATTTAACTGTCGTAGTTTTAAATGATAGATCCTCAATTATTATTTGGTCTTCTTATTACCTCATGTTAAAAACGTACACTTCCAAAATAGTTATTTCTTGTTTCTAAAAACATAAAAAACATAGAGTAACAAAAATTAGGTTTTTCCTTGAAGGTTTTTATTGTCTTAAAAGTAGGTTTGAAGCATTAAAAATTTCTTGCCCGAGGCACACATTACGGAATAATTCTGTCCCACGGCAACACTAGTTCGTTCATTCGAAGGAGAGAGACAACAGTGCCTCTAAAACTGTCACTGGAGTAGGATGGCTTGTTATTTTCTAATGATATTCATTATCTAAGCTAAGATTTGGAAAGTTAGAAGTGATTGTAAGAAAATTTTATGTTGAATGAATTTTTTTAGAGAAAAATCGCATTCAAACATGGGTGCGTTATATGAATAGCCTATACTCATACTACAAAGAGGTTCATTGGACAGTTTTTGGATTTGTTTTTAAAATTTTTGTCATTTTCAGGTATATCAATAATTTATGAACTGTATTATCATAGTTTTAAGATACACAGGTTAAATTATTTAATACTATATTTTATTTATATTGAAATATGCATGGATATTTTTTCACTAGGATAGTACAATACAAGAATTTTTCATACCTAATAGATGTGCTAGTTTTGGGTTCATTTCCTTAATGTGTGTATTATTTTGGTTGCAAAACGGTTTTGGGCAGATAGAGCCCTGTATTCAAAATATTTCAGTACCTCATTTTTTAGAATGACATTTTTGAGAAGACAGGCTGAATCCTTGGTTCTTGTTGTTTAGTAGTTAAAAATTACAAAATCTTGGTATGAAAAGCTTTTCAGTAAAGGATTCAATCCAAAACAGGAAAAATTATCATAGGATTGGTTGCAATCATAGAATGGCATCTTTCACATAACTTAAAGGCAGTCTGTCCCTTCAATAAAAGTTCCGCACAATAGGGGACAGACTGCCTTTAAACATGATTATTGTAACATATAGAGGCTTCACTATTCCAATTTACTTTTGTGTATGCTTACAACCATTATTATTGAAAAAAGGGAGATATGTCTTGCGATAACCAGGCCCCGTGTCTTGATGCACTAGACAGCTTTATTGGTCACTTGTATAATATCTCTTCATTTCTCTCTGATAGGTGTATGTATGCATAAGCTGGGTCTCGAGCCATCACCAGAACTTGCTTCTAATGGGAGCCTAACCATCCCTAGCTGGTTCTTAATGCCGATTAGCGTCAGTAATAATTCAGCAAGTCAAAACAGTTCAAATCTTTAAGTCTTAGAATTCAGAGTCTATGATGGTAAAGATCATGTTTTTAACAATGCTAAGTTGATGGAAGGCAGATTATTCCAAATGCTCCTTATCCTGGGAGCCATAGTTTTTATACATGGAATAAATGTAGCTTTTCATATCATTCTGAGGATAAAAGTTTCAAATTCAGCATTACACTTTTCTAAGACTTAGGGAAATGACAGTGCGTTTTTAGTTATGGCATTAGATAATTCAAGTTAACACAAGTAAGTATGTACATAATATTATAGTTATTTGAATACGATAACATTAAAGCAACGGAATTGCTCTCTGTCGCATCAAAGAACACTAGGTTAGGAAAGTTTTTTGGCTCTGGCTAAAAGCATGAAAATATTTTTTCTAAAACGAAATAATGATATAATTAAATGGGCTGAACAGTAGCCAGTATTAATCACAATGTATTGACTTAGTACATAAACGTCTTATTTTATAAGTAGACATCTAGTTAGATAAAGCTTAAAGGCTCTTGCGCAACCGGCTCGCTTTGTTAATTTAATTCGCAGAACAGGCCTAATATCGTACTGCATGAAAATACAAAATACAGTCCATTTCTCAAGACAACTGCCGCTAAGCATGCCGGTTGCGCAAGATCCTTTAAGTTCGTTGCTAGCTAAAGCTAACACTTGTTTTGTCATATTGTTTGATAAAACGGGTTCTGAGCACTTCCAGCTATCAATGCACTGGCTATATATAATTATAGATAATACTGACTGAAGAGGAATCATCACTAAATATAATCTGATTCTTAGTTAATGCCACACGATTTTATTTCTTTATTTTTTTGCACATTTAGGAGTATATTTCTACAAAACATGAAATTACAAATAACAAATAATCAAATAACCGAGCCAAATTTTACAGCGAACATACACAGTGGAGGTCTAGTTGAAATAAATCCTGCAAGACCTAAGTAGTAAGTAAGTTGTCATTGTTTGTAAATTCTAGAAAAAATTTGCTCTTGAAGTTAGACTTTTCACAGCAATTGCTCAAACACAAGCTTAAAAATATTTGAAGGGATGGGAATTACAGGCTTTTACGGCAAGATTTCAACTTAGCCCCTGAGGAGTGTCTGCAACGCCCTAAACGAAGAGGTAATTGGTACATTCCGAATTGGAAGAATTGGTTAGTTAGCGACGTTAGAATAACAGAAATCTGCTTAGCCGCCTATTGGTTTATCACGTGTCAATATGGCCAGCATCAGTAATCTTCTCGAATTCTGTTAGCTGTTGCGTCTTAATTAAATCGAATGCTGGAGATGGAAGCTCTGGTCGTATTTACCACCAACAGCTTTTTATCAAGACATAGCCAGACGGCCTAAAAGTCTACTTGTTGGTTCTCCGTTGCTTCATTCTTCTATTTTGAAACCAAATCTTTATCTGCCTCTCAGTCAAGCCGAGGTTAGCTGATAATTCACGACGTCTTTCCTTGGTCAAGTACTGATTGAAAAGGAATTCCTTCTCCAACTCGAGTGTTTGATATCGAGAGTATGTTTTTCGTTTTTGCCGTGGAGTTGACCGGCATTTCCAAGGCACTTTTGATTCTGCAAAGAGTAAAGAGATGCAGTTACTTTTCAAATCAACTAGATTCCTGAAGGGTTATTAGTATACATAAGAATCTCTGCCAATAATTTGAGCACTGGATACCGAAAATCTGGCACAAATGATGCAACTATCTTTCTCAAAGTGTCCTGTCTGTTCTGCTATAGGCCTTCATAAAGTTGAGCTATAGGCCTTCATAAGACAGAAGTTTTTAAAAATTCTTGGCTTCAAGTGACAATTCTTAGCTACAATCAAATTCAATGAATGAATGCTGTTATTAATTTTGTGCAGCCATTGAATCCAGCAGATTGAGCGATTATTGCCTTTCAACAAGCGAATATTACTCCCTCTAAACCATAAGATAGCACCGATGGCTCTTCAGCCTCATCCGCAAAGGACTGTTGTGGTTAATTATTTATGGGTGTAATTTATCCAGCATCTCTTCAACGCTAAGATTCATAGGAGATTAACAGTGTTTTATATGTCTTGTAAATCTTCAAAAATGCGCCGCATTTGCATCAGATATGAACAGTTTCCTTGAACTGCCAGGGTCTTTATTGGTAGAAAATCTTTTCTTTTAAGGAAGGTGTAAATATAATTAATTTTCTTTAGAAGACTTTTGTAAATTTAGGAGAGTATTTGACGCATATTTGTGAGAATTTGAATCAATCTACGCTTGATGGTGCATTGTCTTATGTTATCTTTCAATGTTTTTTTTAGAATAATATCTTCATGAATTGATTAGGTTTTAATGAATAAAAAGCAAACTTGAGCCATATGAGATATCTGTGGTTCATCAGCCCTTCCCCTTTCTTCCTTGAAGAATGGCATATTTCTCACCCAATACCCTTATTCATGGCTTAACAATGAAATGGGTGATTTTCTGTTCAGCACGTGTCACCCGAAATACTCCTAAGAATTATTTATGAACAAACTCGGACAGAAAATTAATGAAACAAGTTAACAGCTGATCAAAATCGATTCGAAAGGTAAGTTTACACTGATGCTTATGTCACATATACTATTTTTACTCCGGCGACATATGCTTGATTTAATTGCCATAGCTCCTTAATGCTTTATCTCAAAGCTTTATGTTGTGCCGAAGATTAGTCTCGCACAATTCAACAAGTCAAGGTGACTATCTTTACATTCTTGGACAGAGCTGTTGAGACGAACCCACAAACAAATGCTTGGTACCAAATACGTATAGCCAAACTTCTATCTTCATCCCTTCAAAGTTGAAGCAAAACTAGTTTAGCACCTCGAGGAAGAAGGTCGAAAATATCAAACCTGTCTTTCAGGAATGGTAGATTTGCTCAGTGGTGAAGCCATTTGATTCTAATCGAAACCTGTAAAAATCTGTACTTAGATTTTGACTTTGTTTTGTGTGCTTGCTTGCGAAGGTTTTGACAGTTAAGATATATTTTCGGAAGTTCTAAGTTAGTTATTAATGTCACATAATATGACGATGAAATTCAGGAGTGCCCATCAGACTGAAATTATTTTTCAAAATCACTTTTTTGATCAATGTAATGTAGAATAACAATTAGCAATTATAAAAAGACTTTAACTGTGAGAGTCTGTAGCTTTTGGGGTAACGCAGACTATGCACAGATATCGATGAAAGATAATTTGTCGTGAGAAGAGATTTCTGTTTGGGAGGGGGGAGCAAGTGGAAAGAAAAATAAGACTTTTGAATACCGAGTTCGGGACATGTATTGGGACATGAATATACTAAAAGCTTAGCCAGTTTAATTTTACAGCTGATATTCTAAAAAAATAAGCTATTAGACTGACATGACAATTAAACGAAAAAGTACAGTGCAGATAACACTAGTAGAGCTGTTGACATTTATAAAGGCTGATTTATATTTGGGAATTGATTTCAATATTTCCTATACAGAGACAATTACTACAAACAAAACGCAAGGTTATTTTTATTTATAGCGGTCAATTTTGTTATGCTTATCTTTCCAGCATTAGAATCTTCTCAATTCGGGAGTCACATGTTGATAAATGTAAGCACTGTTTTGAAATACTTATCAATTAGCAACGAAAAGAAATTCTTTTGCAAATCTGAACAATTTCCTTCCTAAGAAGGATGGGACGGATTTTGTCTCTCAGAAATAACTCAGAAGGCCATATTTGGATGATCCCCCGTCTAAAAGACAATGTTTGCCATCTTTTTTATGCCAGCCGTAAAATTAGCCTTGATTTGCCATTTAGTGTTGTTGTTGCTGTTGTTTCAAATCGTTTGTTGTCTTTGCTGTCGTTCCTGTCGTTGCTTTTGGCAAAACTTCATACGCTTTTTTTAACGACGACAGCGTTTGTAGTTACGCCAACAATTAAGAAAGCACCCTTAGCCCAGTAAAGAAAGACACTTTAACAGTTAGACCAGATCCTCACTACTTGACCAACCCCATCAATTGCCCTCACCGACAGCCCTAACAGTGAAAGCAGAAAGCTTCTTTCCGCCGTTATATTTCTATTTTGTTTTGTGGCTGTTTTACCAGAAATTCACTTAAATCTAAGATCAAATACAAACCGGTTTATACAAAATTAACCTTTGTCCGATCAAATATTGCTAATTATTTCCAAGGACTGCAAAAATTTCTTTATAGATCAATACAAGATTTTGTCTATTCCAATGCAGAAACGAATTGCAGTGATATGATTTGTATGACGCCAGGATGAAAATCTTACTGGTCACTTAGTGGTAAAACAGGTATTTCAAATGCCTACACATCCTTGAAAAAAATATATCACATTTTAAATGTTTCCTTTGGTAATCTAACTCACTTCTGCATCTGAATTGTGGTATCGGCATTCATGATAGGCATGATTTAAAGACCAGCGTTTGCAGTAATGTGGCTGGCATCCTTTATTACAGTGACTTTTTGAAGTTGCCAGTTACCAAAGTCGGCAGCATTAGCACACCGTGCAATCCTATTACAATACTAATGGCAGAAACTTAATATTTAACTCCGGTTCCACATCCATGCCTCCAATTCGTCGAACTAGATTTTCCTCACTTTTTTAGCTCGATCCTTTGAATTAGATTTGGCACATTTTTAAATGTACATTTGAAGTTTCGATATTCGGTGTTGAATTTGAAGTTTCACTTCCTAATGTTTATTAGTAGCATTTGTCGCACAGTCAATTCAATTTCGCTTCACCGTTAGAATTTGTAGTTCATAAGACATTGTGGGGATCCAAACGATCTTATTCTTAAAAATTTGTAACTGAAGTATTTTTGATTGTGAAGTATAGGGTCCGTGGAGAACGAGCATTAAATCTCTCAAAATGCTTCCCTGGTTATTGTTTCAAGTTTGTGTTATGAAGCATCAAAACTCGTGAGAAAATGCTGCACATTCAAATATTTGTTTTGACTTTCTATATCGCACATACGGCGAGATGCTTTAAAAATCTCAATCTACGAACATTGACACAGCTGTCTCATCATTAAGTATTGGAATGCTGCTTAATACTTGCTAAAACAGGTTCAGCAGACTCGTTATTGTGTTGCGTGGTGTTGTATTGTGTTATATTTTATTGTGTTGCATTGAGTTTTGTTGTGTTGTATTTTGTTGTGTTGTAATTTGTTTTGCTGTGTTCTATTGTGTTTTGTTGCGTTGTATTTTGTTGTGTTGTAATTTGCTTTGTTGAATATTGCTGTGCTGTGCTTCGCTTTGCTGTATTGTATTTTTCTGTGTTGTGCTGAGTTGTGTCATTTTGTGTTGCGTTGTGTTGTATTGTGTTTTGTTTTGCTATGTTTTATTGTGTTGCATAGCGTTTGGTTTGTTTTTTGTGGTGTATTTTGTTATTTTGTGCTATTGAATATGCATATTACACCGCAAATGTTTACGTACTTCAGTTGAGAAATCAACTGAACATTGAAACCTTTCAAATAACATTGAAGTCAAGGCGTTGTTTGGCCACAACAGTCTTCCTGGTGGTTTTTAGCCATAGGAGCTCCACCTTTCGATTCCTTTAGTAATGAGCTGCTAAACCACCCTTTTTTTAGAGGCAGAGTGAGGCAATATCTTATCTGAAGTTATAGTCTCACGCCAAATATTAGGTAGCAAACTATAACAAATCACTTTCCCCAGTAAATTACTCCATCCGGGATGAGCCCCTAAATGCAACTACAACATACTGCTGTACTTAAACTCAATATTCCAGTATTCCAGCGGAATTCAGCCCTTCTCACTGGCAATGCTCAGCGCAGTAAAGCACGGGACATCTTTGTATATGATTGTTCGATTGCAGACGAGTTGTTGAAAAGCATTTGTCAAATATCTACTAAGTGTATTGCAAAATGAGCTTCTACAATTATGATACTGGATATGACTTGTCACCTGTGATGGAACCAAGTATCAAATAATTTGTATAGCGAATAATCTTTATGACTTTATCAAAGATATTGATTTTTACAAAAATATCACTTCATTTTCATATTGATTAACCCTTACAACTCTCGTTGCTAAACGGCGTATCTCAGGTTCAATATTTATTATCTACTTGCATAAATTAAATCTACATTCTGCATATTATGCGTTAATCTTTTACTCGGAGTAAAAATAAGATGAAAAAGTTCTTTCAGAAGACGTTGCTACATCCCTCATCAAATCAAGTTTTGAGGCTATACTCCCTCATCACAGGAAGCAACGTTGAACCGTTGGTGCATCGGCTTAAGTTGCTTCACCTAGCCCATACAAAATCCTAACCTCTGATATAGCTTAATAGACGCAAGTACAGGCAGCTTAAAGTTCTGGGCAGGGAATGGACAAGAAAATTTCACTTTTCCCCACCATAGAGCCGATGCACCAGTCTTACCTTAGATACCTAAGATATGAGAGGGGAAGAGAAAACAAGACTTAATTAAGAGCCTAGTCTTTCCTAAACAAAAATAACAAGAACTTAGAGATGAATCCTGGTATGTAAACAGACCCTAGCCTAATACAATAGAATAAACAAGGATTTGAAGAAACACACTACGCTT